AAAAGAGACAGGAAGCCCCTCCTGTCTTGGGGAGGGCTCCTAAGGAAAACCCCCCGCCGCCTCTCGGTCGTCGCCTGGCATCCCAAGGGAGGCTTTCCGGCCGAGGGAAGGGGTGGAGGGAAGGGGTGGAGGAAGAGGAGGTGGGCTTCCCGCTTCCCTCAGTTGGCCTTCCTTCGGGGGTGGGGGGGAGCGCGGCGAAGGTACCCCATAGAAACGTCTCAGCTGTTTGCCTCAGACTCTCACAGGTGGAGGTGGGCGTGTGAGGAGGGGAGGCGAACGGGAGGCCCAGTGAGTCCTCTGACCCTAGAAGCGAGGCTCCTCCTCAGACAGGACCGGGTGGAGCATTGCTGTAGGGTGGGGCCACAATACGGGCAGGGGGCACCCCCTTCTCAAACGGGGGGGGGAATGACCCTTTCGGGCCCACCTCCTCCCGCCTTGCCCAAGGGGCTTGCCGAGGGCTCCCACTCTCCACCTCAAGCCACCGTCTGGGCTGTGGAGGAGGAGGAGGAGGAGGAATTGGGGGAGGGGGCATGACTGAGCAACCGGCCACACCGGGGTCCCACCAGGCTTCCAGGAGAGGGAGGGCCCGGGGTGTAGAGACACCCCCCATTTCCTCTGACCAGTATTTGTACCTTAGGAATTTCTTCACGAGGGAGGAGGAGACACCCACCCGTCTCCTTGCCTGTCGCGGAGAAGCATGGCTTTTGGTCGGCTGCCACTGAGCTGATGGCGCACACTCTTCTCAGCCACTGCTGCCAGATCTCCAGACCAAACAAGTTGTGTCTCCTTTTACCGTCCGCCCCTTTGCTGCTGTGATGTGGCAGAGCAGGCCTGCCCTGGTCGGGAGGGTGCCTCTCAGCAGCCACTGCCACCACCACAAGGCTCAGCCTTCCTCCCACTTTTTTCATGGGGGATTTTTTGGCACCCCCTCCTCCTGACTTTTCCTTGCTAAGAATGGATTGAAAGAGAAGGGCTTCCTCTAATTCGGTAGCACTTTTACTTACAAATGTTCTTGGACCTTTAGCACACACAAAAAGATTTGCCCACTGTTTTCTTCTTACCAGAAGTTTAGGCTTTTGTGAAAGTGTGCAAAATTTGGAAAAAATCTCAGGACTTAATTTTTGGGAGGTAAAAATATTTTCTTCCTGTCTGTCCACATGCTGACCAAGATAAGTGTAGTTAGTGTGGAAGAGTCTGTCTGTGCAGACACTGTGCACTGTGACCCCAGTCTGTACACCCTGACTATCTGTTGCTGTTTCAAGGGCAGTTGCAGGAGAGGCCAATTCCCGTCCTGTATGGTTTGTGTGCCTCTGGATACAGGTGGCCAGCAACCAGCTTTGCCCCAGGTCACTATATTATTTTGTCAAGTGCTTCTTGACCACCTACAGTTGAGAAAAGTTCTTAGGAGTCACTGCCTGATTTTCATTGGAAGTGTAAATTAAGCACACACACACACACCCCGATTTTTTTCTATTTAGCAGATCACATATTATTTGAGTGGGTGACTTGGCACACATTCCTCCAACAAGCCAAGGCTGACTCTGATGGACATTTCTCAGTCTGTCCCCACAAGGCTGGCCTGGTGCGCGGATCAGAGTATCTTGTCAGGCTTAGACGCTGGAGGTCTCCCATGATGAGCACAGCCAGGCAGACCGTTTCTCCAAGCCAGTCTAACTGTAGTAGTGGAATTTCAGCATGACTTTTAAAGTGGGGAGTTGTGTCCCCAAAGAGTTCCCTACAGTCTTGATGGAGTTGTCTTCTGGAAGCATCTCCAATATGAGCATCCTCTACTGGGCAGAATGCAGGCTGAAGGTCCAGCTTTTCCCTCGGCAGAAAAGCACCTGCCAGCTGGACTTCAGTCTGCCTTTTTTGGTGGCTCTGAGCTGCTGCTTTTGTCTTGCTGGAGGAGAGCCATGTAGTTGTGGCTCCTGCAGGAGCTATTCAGCAGATCTTGTTTTTGCTGGCTGTACCAGCTGGGGCCTTTTACAGTGGCGCGATGGCCTTCATGGTAAGCCTTTGGTTTTTGGAACTGCTGACGCTGCAGGATCCATCCTTGGCAACAGTAGCACCAAAGAGCACTTTGTTCCTCTTACGGGCCATATTCAGAGAGTGAAGGTGCCTCGGGGAACTGGATTGGGCTAACAGGGACCCTGGACTATTCAAGGCTCTGCCAAAGCCCAGCCAGCAGCCTCTTTGCAGAACAGTTTGCCACTTTGATTTTTTGCTGATTACATTGGAGTGAGACTAGTTTTTAAATTCATCCTGTGTTCAATACCTCTCTTGGCTCATCATTGGCCGGCAGCCGTTTCCGACTGATCTCTACTCAGTCTCTTTCTGGTCATCCTGGATCAAAGCTGAGTGGCACTTACTCTTGGATGGCCCTGATGGAAAAGGCTACTTACTTTGCAGCGCATACCATCTTTGCCCTGAAAAGGGAAGGAAACAGAGCCCAACGAAACCTGGGACATGCCCAGTAGTTCTTTTCTGTGAAATGTGGAAACTGATCATATTTGCCTTCTGGGAGGCCTGCATCCCATTTTTCTCTCTCTCTCTCTCTGTATATATGTATGTTTGCCACTGTTAATTGAGATTCCAATAAAACCTGTGCAAGGTGAAAATTCATAGAATACTCCTGCTAGTTTCATGGCCCTGTAGAAAGAAAGCTCCTATTAACTGAAAAGCCACTGTCTGCTAGGTTAGCCAAAGAAGACAGGGCAGATTTATGCAGTGGATTTAACATCTAGAAAAATAAGACGAGTGAATACCTGCTTGTCAGGAAGCCCCCAGATGAATTCCTGCTCACCCAGAAAGGGTGTGTGTCTCTTTCTTTGCTGACGGCACTTTTCGGTTTCATGTCTGGGCAGGGATTTCTTTGAGGGTCTCTCTCAGAACTAATTAGCAAAGATGTGGTCCAGTTTGTTTGTTTCACTGTAAGAGGAAAGAATAAGAAAGTCCATGCAGCCTTCTTGAGTCTAGTCAGTGTGCTTTCATGCAAACTTCTGTGACTGACAGAGCTCCACTTTCAATATGTGGAGGGGCATGTCCAAGGCACCAGTCTGGGCCCTTGCTGGCCCCTTCTAGGCCTCACTGCATCCCCACCTTTTCCCTCATCCTCATCATGCCATCCTCGTAGGCAGCTTCTGGGTAAACAAAATGTGCCCTTCCTTCATGTGTCTAGAAGACCCCAATGCCCCTCTTCTCCAGACACATTGGGGGAGGATAGTGAGGATCCAGAGGAATGCAAGCAATGCCCTGGCCTTTGCTCTGCTCAGGAGACACCCAGAACCTCTAGGCAAGTAAAGAGGGCATCCCCAGCGTGTCCTCAAGGGAGCACAGGAGCCCATGCCCCCACAGGTGTGCGCACACATGCACTTCCACCCCCCCACACACACACAGAGGAACCCATGGAAGGAACCCTTTTCCCTGTGCTCTGCTCCTCCCTTCCTTTCTCATATTCCCTCCTGGGACAGGGAAACAGTGATGGCTGGGCCTTTGAAAAAAGGCCCACTTGCCCATATTGTCTGGTCCAGACCTTTGGCTGGTGAGCCGGTCCAGAGAGGGTGGGGCTTCTCCCCGATCACTTCCCACTGATGGGCAACCTCTTCCCCCGCTCTTTGTGTTGCAGGGCTGCAGTGGGATGCCATGGCGAATGCCTTGGGCAGCGAGGACGACAGCTTCATGGCCGTGGACCCTGATGACACCGTGGTAGGAGGCGGCCTGGATCTGGATGAAAGTCTCAGGGCCGGCGGCCAGGAGGAGCTGGAGGCAGCCCAGCCCTGCCGCTCCATGCAGGAGCTCCCGGAAGAGGTGCTGGAGTACATCCTGTCCTTCCTCTCACCGTACCAGGAGCACAAAACGGCTGCCCTGGTCTGCAAGCAGTGGTACCGCCTCATTAAAGGTACAGGTGCCCTTGTGTGGCCTTTACAACCTCCAGCCTGGAAATCCTCTGGAGAGTCCACCCTGTTTGCCAGGAGGGCAGCAAAGATGGGTGTCAGGGAAGGGGACGGTGTGTCAGGGATTGTGTGTGGGGAGACGGTGCGTCAGTGGATGGTGTGCCAGAGGACGAGAGGACGGTGTGTCAGGGACCATCCAAGGCTTCTGGGGCAAAATGCTGGCCAGTGCTTTAAACCAGAGTGACAGAAATAGCTTGTGATGTTCCCTCGGTTTAGATGCAGGGTCCTTTCCCAGCATAGCCTGGAATAAAAAGCCGGTCCTGCGGTCTTCGTTCTGTGGCGGTTCAGCTTTCCTGGTGAACTGGAGTCGGGAAGGACAGATGTTTTCTGAGGCTGGGATGGGTCGGAGGCCCTGGGGACTCTTCTGGCTCCCCAGGCAATTGGGAGCTCCTTCCTATTTTCCTGAAGCCCCCATTGGCTTTGTGGCTGGGAACCATTTCTGCCCATAACCTGTCACCGTCTTTGCCTCCTCCTCCTCCTCCAGGCGTGGCCCATCAGTGTTACCACGGCTTCATCAAGGCAGTCCAGGAAGGGAACATTCAGTGGGAGAGCCGCACATACCCCTACCCTGGCACCCCCATCACTCAGCGTTTTTCCCACAGTAAGTCCATGGTTAAGTGGGGATACCGGGGGGAGGGGAGGGGAGAGGAAGCCCCCCTTGGGGTTGCAGAGTTCCTCAGCATCTGGGGGGCTCTGGAGAGCAGTGATGGGCTGAGCCAGAACCTGTGTGGATGCCGTAACCCATACGACCGGAAAGCCGGAAGATCAGGTTGGGGCAGAAGGGCCTCCAGGCTGGTTTGCAGCCTGGAGGCTTTCATGGGGAGTCCTTTGTTTCTGAGCTTCATCCGGCTGTAGTGCTGACCATATGCCAGTATCCTTTTTGGCTCTTTCCCTCCCTATTTCCCAGGCGCCTGTTACTACGATGCCAACCAGTCCATGTATGTCTTTGGTGGTTGTACTCAGAGCAGCTGCAACGCAGCCTTCAACGATCTCTGGCGGTTGGACCTGAACAGTAAGGAGTGGATCCGGCCCCTGGCTTCAGGTGAGGTTCCCAGGGATCTGGCTCTTCTAAACCAACGAGGGCTGCTGTGCATGCTCTTAGAGGCCCAGCAATGGCAGAAAACAGAAGGGAAATCTCTCCCTGGCCCCCGGGATCTCTAGGCACCAGGAGGCTCTTTGGAGACTTATTGGGCTTGGTGGGAGCCCACTCTGGTCCGTACAGCCAAGAAGGTGAGGGTCTTAGGAGAGCTCAGGCTACTTTCCCTGAAATAGCTGGGGTGGGGGGGCCTGTGGAGATTCCAGAGGACGAGAGGGCAGGGACCGCCTTCTTAGCTCCGTGGCAGTATCTCCCAGTACTTCCGGTCTTGGCAGAGGGCAGGAGGACTTGGAGCATTTCCGTTTCCAAAAAAGGGGTGGGGCTTTCCAACATTGTTTCCCAACTAATTTATTTTCTATGTTGTTGTGATGAGGAAAGACTTTGAGGTGTTTGGGCTTCAGGGAACTTCTCATCCCCCTCTTCCTTATATCTGGTGGCTTACCTTGTGCAGATCTTGGGCTCAATGTGAGGCGCCTGCAGGGGAGAGAAGCCTACCCTGTCCAGCGTAGCTACTTGCCTCTCTCTCTCTCTTTCCCCTCAGGGAGAGGAGACCTCTCTTTCTCTGTCCCCATTTTCACCTCTCCTGCTTTCTGGGGAGAGGGAACAGGTGGGGCACCTGTCCGCTAATATTTCTGGGTTCTTGTTGCCATCCCCCTTTTTCCCTGCTGGGCACTTGGGAATGACAAATATTTCTGGCCCAGCATTTGGCCCTGACGTCTTCCTGAGCAGTCAGTTCTCCCCTGGGAGTTGCCAGCTTGCTGACTTTAGCCCCTTTTCCTCCCCACTCCCCAGCCTTCAGGAGACTAACTTTAGCTACCTCTTTTTTGCAAAGCCTGGCAGCCCTGTAGATTTTGCAGAAATGAGGAGCTGCAAATAGTCTTTCTAGCCCCAATTTTGGTATCAGAGCCTCCCGGGATGCCAAGCTCCCAAGGATCCCAGCCAAAATCTCCCCTCCCCCAAAAGGCCTGCTTCCTTGTCTATGTTTTGGGTTTTTTTGTCTTTCAGGGAAGGGGGGCAAGAAGGCACTGAAGTCTCTCTCCTAACCCCATTTTCACAGTGGAGGGGAAAAGGGAGTTCCCTAATGGAAATATGTTCCTCTGCCTCCGTCTCCTCTCCCCTCCCCCCCAAAGCTTTAGTGGCTTATGGAAGGAGTTTTTTGTCTGGGACTCAAAGCCACCCCCCCTCCAAGCCTTTCTTGGTCTTCCTCTGCCTGGTGGCCTTGGCCAAGCCCTTTCAGTCCTGCAGCTCCTCAATGCTGCACATGCTGGGGAAGGTAGACTCAGTGAGGGTACAATGGACCCACCGCTCCTCAAATCCCCTTCTGGCCCCATTCTGCTTCACTCCTTTGCAGAAAACAGAGGCGGTGCGGCAGCTTTTTCAGTTTCCACTACCAGCCATGTTACCTGTTCAGGCTTAGGGGCCTCTTGAGGCTCAGGTTCCCTGGATGATTCGTCGTAGCCAGCCGTGGTTCCTGCAAGCCAGGAAGGGAGGTGTAGGGATATACAGGCAAGCGGCCCAATAGCTGGCCAGCCCACTGCTCCAAGCTGGACCACTTTGTGTCCTTTTAGGTTTAGGGTCGTTTTCAAACTGGCCTTCTTGCCATCTCTTTCCCTCCTCTCATGCAGGCTCGTACCCTTCTCCCAAAGCCGGGGCCACCCTGGTAGTGTACAAGGACTTGCTGGTACTGTTTGGAGGCTGGACACGGCCGAGCCCCTACCCCTTGCACCAGCCAGAGAGGTTCTTCGATGAGATCCATACCTACTCGCCCTCCAAGAACTGGTAAGGAAGCCTCTGGAGGCCACTGCAGCCCATCTGCCGCTGCCATCTCCTGCTTCTGGTTTCACCTGTCCAAGGAAATGGAGGTGCTGCATGTGGCCAGTCCCTCACTGATTCGGGGCTACTGGGGGCTTACTCCTGCTTCCTCTTTTTCCTCAGGTGGAACTGTGTGGTGACGACCCACGGCCCCCCTCCCATGGCTGGCCACTCCTCCTGTGTCGTACAGGATAAGATGGTGGTCTTTGGCGGGTCTCTTGGGTCCCGACAGATGTGAGTCTCTTCTCTGGCTTCACCCAGATGCTCCCTGTGCCTTTTCCTTCACCTTCTCCTCCCCTGGTGTCACTCTTGCCATTTGCCTCTTGCAGGAGCAATGATGTCTGGGTGCTGGACCTGGAGCACTGGTCATGGTCGAAGCCCACCCTCTCAGGGCCCAGCCCCCACCCGCGCGGGGGCCAGTCTCAGGTAAGCACCTTCTCCTTCAGCCTTGGCCTGCAAAGCCAGCATAACCTTGTCCCAGTGCCTGCCAGCTCCAGGAGAGCACCCTGAAGCTCCCCCTTGTGGAACAAAAGTAGAAAGGGTCCAAAGCGCCCCCCCCCCAATCCAGTCAGCCCAGTAGCCTGTCCAGCTTGGCTTGGGCTCCGCTGCCCAATGGCCGTGACTCCTTCAACATCAGGGGCCATTTTCTGCTGGACCCCAGCCTTGCTCCCCATAGCAGCCCAGCCTTGTCGAGTCTGGAGGGGAAAAGGGTCTCACTTGCCATGAGCCCACCGAGCCATCCTCCTTCCTGGAAGGGCCAGGGACTGGGTGCTGCTTTCTGCAGACGGGCAAAGGGGATTGTGTCCGGTTGCCACAGGAGAGGCTTAGAGAGAGCAGAGTAGGACCAGCAGCCATTTTCCCACAGGAGTGGACCAGGATCCCCTGGGCTCCTCCAATGACTTCTGCCCTTTCTCTCCCTCTTACAGATAGTCATAGATGATGAAACCATCTTGATCCTGGGGGGCTGTGGGGGCCCCAATGCAGTGAGTAGACAAAGCTGGGAACTGGCATGAGTGTGTGGGTTGCATGGGTGGAGAATCTTGGAGGGCCAATCCTCCCCACCTTGCCTTGGGGGTTGTGTTTCCTCTTTCTGCTTCCCCCCCATTTTTATTTAGCTTCCCCCCCATTTTTATTTGCTCAGGTTCTTCACTTTTAAGGCTCTAGTCCACATGTGAGCAGCCCATCACCAGGACATAGATGGCCCAACTAATCTCCCCTGATGCATCACTCCTTCCCTAAGCAGAAAAGCTTTCCTCCCCTGGCCTGCTGGACTTCATGGTTTCTCTCCCTAAGGATAAAACAAACCTTGTCCAGAGGATGAGCAAGGGCTAGAAACATGTTTCTCCCTATCAAACCCAAGCCAAGATTTTTACCAAGTTTCCTTCTGGACTTAGAGCCTTCCTGTGAATTTTGTGCATTTTTTAGATCAAGAGCCCTTAGTTCCCCAAAGCTGCGTTAGGAGCATATGGATCAGGCCAGCTCCTTGGTTAGAAATTGATTGGTCTCCTAGATGTTGATACTTTGCAGTTGTTTGTAACAGGTGCCTCTTAACAGCTGGCCTCAGTTTCCATAGTCTTTAGGGATCTGCCTTGTATTTTTTCTTCTGTGGCTAAAAGATAGCTTTCTAGCCGATGAAAAAAATTCTAGAGGACAAGGCCCAGCCGTTGAAGGTGTGCTTTTTTTCAGATAGCAGGCACAGCAGGGGAGCACAAGGACTGGACAGGGAAAAAACAGTAGTTTTAAGAGCTGGGCAACAGTGTGTTTTTTTTTCTTTCCTGGGGAGGGGTCTTCCTCCTCCCAGTCACGACCCTCAGTTTGTACCCCAAGTCTCATCTGTCCCCTTGTGGCATCCACAGCTCTTCAAGGATGCCTGGTTGCTACACATGAACCCCACCCCTCCGTGGACGTGGCAGCCCCTCAAGGTGGAGAATGAAGACCAAGGAGCCCCCGAGCTGTGGTGCCATCCAGCCTGCAAGGTAAGGGAGGGCCGGATGAAGTGTGCATCATGGCCTGTGGAGCCTTTCCATTGGGGCAGGGTGGAGGTGTGGGGAAAGGCTGTGTGCCTCTGAGCAAAGCCCCCTCTTCTGCTGCAGCCTTTCCATGGAAAAGGACTCTCTTTTCCCTGAACCAAAGGGGGCCTGGGAGTGGGGGCAGATACCATTTTGAAGGGAAGAGTAGCACACAGTCACAATCCAGTCCTCCAATGAGCTTGGGCCCTGGGTAGGCAGTGATCGTCCCTGGCAGCCAGCAGGAAGCAGCCAGGTAGCCTTGGTGAAGGGAGGCTGAATGCCCTTTCTACGCCCTGCAAAAGCCGGCAGCTGTTCTCTGGAGATGCAGGTGGCCTTTTTGCTTCTCCTCCTCAGGTGGGCCAGTGTGTCGTGGTCTTCAGCCAGGCTCCAAGTGGGAGGGCACCACTCAGCCCCAGCTTGAACTCCCGCCCATCTCCCATCAGTGCCACCCCACCTGCCCTAGTGCCCGAAGCGCGAGAGTACCGCTCTCATTCGCCAGTTCGGACTGCGGACGAGGCCCCCTGTGTGAATGGTCGGTGGGGCACCCTGAGGCCCCGAGGGCAGAGGCAGACTCCTTCTGGGTCTTGGGAAGGGAGCCTCTCCCCAGCCAGGGAAGACAGCTCCCCTGTGCTGAACGGAGGAGGCAGCAGCAGCAGCGGGGGCCTCTCTCCTGGCCCCACCACGCTTGGGGGCCGGGCGTCCCTTGACAGCCCCATCCAGGCCCTCTCTCCCAGCACCTCTTCTGTCCTGGAAGGGTATGACCTGAAGGTGGGCCTCCCCCTGCCACCACGAAGGGGCTCTCTCCCAGATCCGAGGGACCTGCGTCTGGCCGCTGTGGATTTGAACTGGGAGGCCAAGCCCCTTTCCCTGATCAACCAGCTGGACGGGGGCTCTGAGAGCAGGACGATCGGCTGCCTCGCCCTCGGGAACCCTCCAGAGCAGACAAATGGCATCCACACTCCGCCCTCGGTCAGCAGTTCTCTGGCAGGAGCCGTGTCGCCTGGTGCCCTGAGGAGGAGCCTGGAGGCAGTGAAAGCCCTCTCCTCAAAAGCTCCCCCCGCTGTGGCCGTTTGCAGCCCCCCCTCCATCTCCTCGCCGGGATCCCCAGGCAGCCAGGGTGGCAGCAGTGGCACCACTGAGGCAGCAGCAGCAACCGGAGTGGCACCGGCCGCCCCTCGCCCTGCCTCGGCCCAGGGCGATGGGCACGCCTTACCACCCATCGCCCGCCGGCTCGGCCACCACCCACCCCAGTCTTTGAACGTGGGCAAACCGCTGTACCAGAGCATGAACTGCAAGCCCATGCAGATGTACGTCCTGGACGTGAAGGACATCAAGGCCCGGGGCCGGGTCCAGTGGAAAGCCTTCAGCAGCAGCTCGGTGGTGGGTCCGCCGGAGACAAGCCTGCATACAGTGGTGCAGGGCCGGGGCGAGGTGATCATCTTTGGCGGCCTCATGGACAAGAAGCAGAACGTCAAGTACTATCCGAAAACAAACGCCTTGTATTTCGTGCGAGCAAAAAGATAATGCGGACTTGCTCTTCGCCGCCGCCCCCGCCATCCAGTCTCTCAGCACCTTCTGTGGAGCCAGTGCGTCCCCTCCCTTTGCACTCTGTGAAGCAGGCTGTGAACTTGGGGTCTTCCCATTAATAAATACTTCTGAGCAAATGGCAGCACCAATGGTTCCCTCTGGTTCCCGACATGACCCAGTTGCTGTGAGAGTCTCCGACAAGGGAGAGAGAGACCAGCAGAGGTCGGAGCAGGGAAAGCGCAGGAGCTGCCATGGCAGCCACTTGCTGGGCATGGCGCTTTCTGTAGGCAGGAGCAGCCAAGGGCCTTGGGCCATCTAGGCCCTTCCTTGTAGAAAGGCCAGGGGTGCCATCCCCAGGGATCCCTGCTTTGTTTCTGTCCCACAGGTGGCGCCACTCTGTGGGGCATCCTGCCATTAACACCTGCATTTTGCCCTCTTGTGGAGATGCTGGGCGGAAGCTGCATCAGTCCAAAGGAAAACTTTCTGGGGAGCTTACCTTTCCTTGCTCTCCTGCAGCGGGGAAAGGGGAAACCAGCCTGGCAAATAAGCAGGGTGGGGCCTGTTGCCAGGAGAGGGGGGAAGCAACAGCCACAAACTCTTGTGGGGTCTTTGACACGGGGGGGGGGGGCGCTCTTGTGTAGCAGCTATCTGCAGCACCAACAGGGAAAGAGGACTGACCTGGCCACTGCCTCCGTCCCAAGGAAGACTGGCCTGGATGATGCATGGGACGTGGTGTTCTTGAGAAGCAACAGACGGAGCCCCAGGTGATGGGAAGGGCCTTAGCCCACGTTGGTGGCTGTGGCAGGAATGGGCCTGTAGGCCTAGGGAGTATTCCTTACTGGAGGGGGACGTCTGGAATAACAAAGAGCCCTGACTGCCCTAAAGCCCGGGGGGGGGCACCGGGTACCCATGCAGAAGGTAGATGAGGCCTGACCAGCTCCCGGCCTCCACCCTCCCTCCTGTAGTCCTTGTGCATAGATGCACTCAGCATACTAATGTCATGAAGTGGCTTGGCTTAAGATCATCTCTTCAAGAAGAGATGATGGGCTGGGCTGGAAGCAGCTTCCTTCAGCTCCTGGCTGGCAGTCAGTGGATTCAGGGGAAGTGGCTGTTCCTGGCAATGCCATGTGAGACTTCGGCAGTTTTGCTGTTGGTTGTGCTGTGGCCCCGGAGGGGTGTGTGTGTTTCTCTAGTTCCACAGACCAGATGAGTTGGGGGAGGGGAGAGTTCCCCCCCCCAAATTGTCCTGCCTTTACTCCTCTGCTCTTTCCACTCACTCTGTGGGTGACACCCTGAACTCAATCCTCCCCACCACATGTGCGGGTCAGTTCCCTCATTCCCAGGCAACACTTACCTGAGGGAGATGGGTTTGCCTTACTTGATTTCCCCACCCAAACATTTGCTTTGGCTGGCATGACGGGGGCACGAGGCATGTGTGTGCAACCAGGGCTCAGGTGGGTTTGATATGGGCTCCCTCCAAAAGTTTAGGTCCCTGATCCATTTTTAGAAATGGAAAAGTTAATGTGATATTAAACAATCATATTAAAAGAGATCTTTTGAAATCTCCCCCTTCTTTTTGGAGGTTAATAGTACTCCACTATCAGATTTTTTTAAAAGAAGAAATTTAACAAATAAATAATATTTAAAACTTATTTGCTGGCTGCACTCACATAATTTTGTAAAGCTCAGCCTACTAACACCCAAATCCCTCCATTTCCTAGATCCAAGGAGATGATGGCACAGCCTCCACTGCACAGAGCTGTTTACTTGCTGTGGAATTATGGGAGCTCTATTCCCAACTGAACAAATGGGCTCCAGGTTGGAAAAAGTGCCCTTGGCATCAGTAATGCACAAAAAAGCTCATTGTGTGCCCAAAAACCTTTACAAGAATGGGCACCACAGGGAGGGGCACTAATTTAACTGTGTGCATCATGGCATTTTTACAGCCAGGAGCACAACAGGCTATATCACAGATATGGCTCTGAATTTTGCACCAGGGTCAGACTGGCATCAGGGAAGACCAGTGTTGTTGTTGTTCATTAAAACACCCGACAATAATTCCACATGCATGACTCGCAACCCACAACTGCTGACCTGGTAAGGAGACAGTTGCACAGCTGAGTGGTTCCCAGTCACGCAGCCCCGTGTACAGGTGAATTGTGCACACACAGCTCAATGGGGTAGAAACCCATATCTTGTGACCTGGTGGGGGGTGTGATTGTTGCTCCCAGGAAATGTAAGGCAGACTTCAAAGTCACAGGCTCCTCACTTTCGCCCCTGCTCCCGGCAGCTGCTCTGATGGCAGTGAAGCTGAGCATCACTCCCTTTCGAAGACATGCTTTTTTCCTAGACGCGAAAGGTAGTTTGTTTCTCTCCAAGTGCCAGGAACCTTCCCTAGAAAGAGAATTCTCGTCAGTCACAAAAAGGCACTCTGTCCGTTCTCTCTTGCAAACTCTCCCTATGATCAGCGGGGAGGGAGGGGGGATTTGGCTTTGAGAATACCGACCCGGGCTAGGAAGGGAGAGCCCGCAACGCCTTCTTCCTAAGTCTAGCAGAAGGCGGGAGGGGCCGGGCCACGCCCCTTTACGTCATGACGCCAGGAGCAAGGAGGGCGGAAATGCTCCCACGGAAGCTGGCCGGGCGGAAGTCGTGATCGAGAGGAGCGGCGCGCGAGGAATAGGGGCGGGGCGGGCATAGAAGCAGCAGCCACCGCCGCCGCCGCCGCCGCCGCCCCCCCGGTCGGATCCCCTTGGCTGCCTCCTTTGCAACGTTGGGCAGCCTCGGCACCGGGGCGGAGATGGGCACGGTGGTCCCTCCGGGATCCGTGGTGGTGTCCGACTGGCACAGGAGCCAGGAGGGCAAAGAGTACTTCGGGACCCTGCTGCGACGGAACAGGCGCCGCTTCTTCGGTGAGCATCTATCGGGTGGATGGCCGCTAAACCCCGACCCCTTCGGCGTGAGCAGCACATAAGCCGGAGTGGGAAGCAACGCGGCCCTCTGGGTACTTTTGGACTGCGGCTTCCATCATCCCCTGCCGTTGCTCTTGCTGAGGCTGATGGGAAGTGCGGTCCAGCACCATCCGGAGGGTCCCGCCTTCCCGACTCCGGCTTTAACAGGTTAGGGCAGAGATCGGGGAGGAGGAGCCCGAGGGGCTGGAGCGGGAACCGAAAGGCCTTCGCTGCCGTGGGGCGGCCTGGGCAGAGCGGCGGGCTTACCTCCGGCCATGCCGAGCCTCTGATTCGGTCCCGCCCCCGCCCCAAAGGAACCGGGTCCGTCCGAGCAGCGCGGCTTTGAACACCCCCCCCTCTGGCGGCTGATCCTTTGCACCGCAGCCGGCTGAACTCCCGTGTCCCCGGAGGGCTCCACTCCCACGTTGCGAGGGAATTTTCGCTGCCGAGAAGGCGCAAATCGTTCCTTAGTAATCTTTTCCAAGCCAGGCGAAGAATCCCGTTGTTTCAGGCGGGAGGGGGCAGCACTCGTCTTGGTGAGAAGGCGGGATGGGGAATAAGGATGCTTGGGACTCCAGCCTAGAGCAGGGAAACACGAAATAGAGATGTGATTTATTCACATGGTGAACAAAGCTGGCTGCATTTTGCACGGCCATTGATGTCAACACAGCGGGCTCTTCAGCTAGAAAAGAGACTTGAAATGAAGCCAAGCCACCTGAGTCCTAGTCTAATGCTAACCACTTCACTGCCAAAATTATCACACTTGATATTGCCTTTTAGTAGAGAAGTTCTTCCACCATGCTCAGAAGCACTCTTGTCTTGCTTTCTCACCTTTACATTGCATTTCCCATATTTTCTGGATCTGACCTCTGGAAGTTTTTGGGTTCGGGCTTTGTTTTTGGGTCAGACTGGGGGGACTGAAGACTGGGGAGGGTTGGAGCTGCAGCCCATAACATCAACCCCCCCCACTAATCTGATGTGATGATCCTTTCCAGGAATGATCGAGAGACCAGTGCTGTCCCCACAGCTGGCTGCAGATGTTGCAGGCTATAAGGTCTTTGTGTCGGGGAAGAGTGGAGTTGGCAAGACAGCGCTGGTGGCCAAGCTGGCTGGCCTGGAGGTTCCTTTGGCGCATCACGAGACAACAGGTGATGCCAGCCGGGCCTGCAGGAATGGGGTCTCCTTCTGCTTCTCCTTGCAACTTCAGTCATAGCGCTGAAGGGGGACAAGTCACTGCCGCCTTGCTTGACCTCGTTTTGCCTGCCCATAAAAAAAGAAATATTATAGTAACTCAGAATTAGGTGAAGCTGGCAGTGTTTCGTAAGTTTTTTTTTTCCTTTTAGGAAAGGATATTTTCCAGGTGTGATAGGAAAGCAAGGTCTGTTCTGTAAGTCACTGTCAGGTGGATGTGAATAGCTCCTTTGCTGAACCCTGGCCTGGTGCCTAGTGTTCTTGTTGCTTATCTATGTTTTAAAATACAAATTAGGGAGAAATATGACTTTTAATATGGCTCAAACATGTATAATTGGCAAATTCACAGAACTCTTCACCTGATGACACTTTCTGTGGTATTCAGAAAGTTACAGAATTCTGCAGTGGCTCCAGCAAGAAAAAAAGTATCACCTTTGCTTTTTTTTAATACTGAGACCAACAGAGCAGTGCAGATACCTTCTTCATCCACATGCCTGGGCGGATGGAATGGAAATGCAACAAAGGGATATGAATAACCTGCCATTACCATCTGAACATCAGATGTGGTGGACTGCCGTCCTCAACAGGCAGCAGCCACACGATAGCTCTTATGTTTTTAAGGGGCATGAGACACGTTGGCTGCCCTTGTAAGAATGACTGCAAATAAATCTCTGGAACCACGAGAACTGTAAATTGGCTACCTTCTAGGCAGAGGGCCACCGTGCCTGCAATTCCAGCTGAGATGAGGCTGTTCTGTGTTTCAGGGATCCAGACCACCACCGTGTATTGGCCAGCCAAGCTTAGAGAGAGTGGCCGGGCCCTCTTCTTCAGGTTCTCCATCTGGGACTGTGGGGATGCCGTACTCAAAAAGTTCGACCACATCCTGCCGGTGAGGGAGCCTGTAGGGGCACAGGCTGGAGGTGGAGGGGAGCCACACACTGGTATATGTGGCCAGGCTGCCTTCTGCCAAGCCAGATGGGTGGACCTTGTGCAACCCGCTAAGAGAGGTCCCAGGGCCTTTGCCAGAGCTCGGCACATCCTGGTCAGCTGCCAGTTGCAGCCGGTGTTTTTTGTTCACCTTGCAGTCTTGCACAGAGAAGGTGGACGGATTCCTTTTCCTGTTCTCATTCACGGATCGTGCATCCTTTGAAGAGCTGCCTAGTCAAATCTCTCGTGTGACAGAAGGTGCCAAGAATGCAGTCAAGATGGTGATTGGCACCAAGTATCCTTCAACTGTTGTGTGGGGTGGGGACTGATGCTCTCGAGTTAGGACGTTGTCTTTCAGCAGAAGGGGGAGGCAGGCTTTACATGCTCAGAGGCATTTTGCTTTAGGGATCTTCTTATAAAGACAGCAAATTTCTTGTGACCCAAGGAAGCACTTGGCATATCTTTGAAGCCTTTTCCCTCTGAGAAGAACTCTTTCTTCAAGGGCAAGCCAGCAGTTTTCATTTAAAAAAATGGAGGGTCTGAACTGGGCCTCTGGCATCCATTTTTCCAACATAATCAAGCTTTAAGGAAACAAAATGCAAGCATAGTCTGGACCCTCATATACACTCAGATAATATTTAGACTTGCACCAGCTATTTAGTTTTCTTTGCTTCGCTTTTTTGATTCACAGACTGGTTGATTAATATCCAATCTTCACTCAATAATTAATCTTCAGGGAGGTTCACAACACATTCAGAAGTATTGTTCACAAAAAGACAGATCCTACAAAAACACAGCAGAGTATCCCATATCTGTTATACTGTCCTCTTAAAACAATTACTCTTTGGCCTGAAGGCTAGGGACTCAAAAGTGCGGAGGCTTTGCTGTCCTCTTTATGATCCAGTGGAAAATAATTTTGCTGGACCCAACATTTGTGGGACAGTGGGAGATCCTCTGTGGGTTGTGTATCAGTCACTGGTGTTCCATCTCCTTAACTATTTCCCTCCAGGTTTGATCAGTTTGCCCATAGTGATGTGACTGAGCATGATGTGGCTGCATTCTGTCACACCTGGGGACTGCCTGTCTTGCGAGCAAAAAGCATTAATGCACCACGGCTGGCTGATGGCCAAAGCTTGGATGGCCGAGCTGGATTGTCCGACATGGCCCACCTACTCAACGGCCTAAGCGAGCACCTCTGGCGACAGGACCAGTGGGCGGCAGGACTCCTCCCACCATTGACAAGCCCTGGGTCCTCAGAAGAGCCAGCATTCAGCTGAGACAGTACCCCCAGAAGCACACACATCAGGCAGGCTTGTGTTGTCTAAGAAACTGCTGGATGGCACTGGGATGGTATTTGAATAGAAGCTTCTGACAAGTCTCAGCACAGAGGCTGATTGGCCAAGCATTAGACCAGCACTGTCGTGCCAGTGACCAAAAGGCAGATTGGGCCGAGCCAGGATGACAGAGAGAAGCTTGGTTGGCCAAAAAGCAGCCCTCAAAGACCTGGTGGTCCTTTAGGAAAAGAGACGAAAAATATTGACTCATGTGCTTTTGAGGCCCACAACACCCTTCTTACTGGTATTCCCCCCCCTCCCAGAATTGTGGGATAGACAAGGGCTCCAGGCTGGCTTGAAAACAGGTGACACCTGCCTTCTTGCCTCACTTCAGTCTTGACATCATAAGTCTCTAAACTGAATCATGTCTCCTTCAGATGGATATGCCTCACATCTAGAGAGTAGCTAAACTTGGGTCATGTCCTCGTGCCTTTTCCGTCCCTTTCTATATTGTGTTCCGGAGAGTGGATTTAATAAATACCTTGAATTTGGACCTCAGAGAACGTGAATATTTGTATTTGGATGCCATACATAAATCATGCATCCTCAACGGGACTGGCATTGCCATTATACTAAGCACATGCCAGGCCTTAGCCCCCAGACAAAGAGCCACCTACCCCTTTCCATCCAGGGGGTGGAGATGACCATAAATACTATGGAGATCCCATTTCCTTCCCATGCCAATCTTCCACTGCCATTCATCTCCAAAGATCGGTCCCAGGCAGATCCAAGGTGCTGAGTATGAAAGGAGAACACATGCTTGGCATCTGTGAAATGGCTCCGAGGCCAGCTAGTATTTAAAATCAGCATTTCCAGGGTGCAGTGTTTATTTGTGGGCGGAGACAGCCCACATTTCTTAATTTCAGGCCATTCTTGCTTCAAAGCAGTTGGAAAATTCTGCTGTTCGGCATCCGTGCCTGTCTCTCAGGGCTGAAATCCACCACCTACGTTTTCCTCTTGCCTTCTGTGGATGGTAGCATACCATTCCAAGGACTTATAAGACATTCTCCTCCAGCAGTTGTGCAACAATGATGTCATGGGGTGTCCTGTCAACACAACTGTCTTGTGTTTGGAGGAGAGCACAGTCTAGGCCATCAGAGCTGTCAGGGAGCACCCTTTCCTGTTCCACCCAGGACGTGCTGGCTATATGCAAGGGCTGCACGAGATCAATCCATTCTCTGCCACATGGGTCTAATTTCGGTCCCCTTCTGTCTGGTTTACTGCAACTCTTTCATCTGGGTCTGGAGCAGCGGGAGGTGGATTTAATGCACCCCAAGTGGGCCTGGTTTCCTGCCTCAGCAGAGAACACCCAGCCTGGCCTTCCACTTTTTCCTTCACTCTTCTCCTTAGAACCAGAGTAAATATTTAATGGGCCAACAGCTCCCCAGGGGGTGGGATGGGGGTCTGTGTATAAACTGGAGAGCAAAACAAAAGGATGCTTTTTGGAATAAGAAGTAACTAAGTGAGGAGGTGCTTAATGAACTGGTTAGCACCATTAAAAAAATCTAATATAACTTAGATTTCTTTTCTCTAAAAGCTGTGCAGGGTCTGACAGAGTTCTTTCGCCAACTAACTCCCCAGTTGCTGGCATTACAACCAGCATCCCATGGCATCACAGTTAGGCAACACTGTGACCCACTGGCAGACCCCTGGTGCTTCCCTGTGCCTGGCCTGGCCTCTGCACTTCAACAGGACAGAAGGAGGAAGGGTAGCTGAGTGTAAGCAGCTCAGTGCTCCCCTTCTAGGATGGCTGGTGGAAACGTCCCTGGAGGAGAGGGCAGCCAGGCTCTGTTTCCAATAAGTCTGGCACAACAAGCCCCAAAAGGCAAGAGAAGGAAGGGCAGCAGGTGGAACAGGGCGGCCTTAAATCCTAATCCCAGCACTGGGGCCCTCTTCACCTGCTGCCCTTGCCCAAGGGGGGAATGGAAGGAACAGCAGCTGGGCAAGCCCCTAGCAGCAAAACAAACCAAGAGGCCAGTGTCGCCTGACAGGCTGACTACTTTCTCCTCGCCTCCATTGTCTGGCCACTGAACTCACCAGGAGGAGAAAGGCTGTGTCTCCGCCTTCGCCTCCTGCTGCCACTCAGCGACGCAGCAGGGAGGCCGGCCGGCAAGCGAGGGCGGAGGCTGGGGAGGCGAGGCAGTCGACACCCCCAGCCCGATCCGCCCAGCTCACCTCCCTTTGGCAGCTGGACCACAGATGCCATAAGCATCCGCCGCTGCCAGTCCCCGCCCGGGACTAAAGGCTGCTTCTCCTCCATTGCGTCCTGGCTGCAGGAAGAGCCACCGCCGCCGCCGCAGCCCACTCCCCCACTTTCCCTCGGATGCAAGGAAAGCCGGGCCTGGATCCCCTCCTCCGCCAACCCCATGATCCGCAAGAAGGGCTCCTCCTCCACTTCGGATGCCCAAGACACTGGCTGGCTGCTCGGCCACGAAAAGAGCCCCTCGGGCTTCCTCAGCGCCCCACTGCCCAACGGAGGCCTCAGCGGTGGCGGCGGCACCAGCTCCAGCTTCGTAAGTCCCCTGACCGACCGGTGGCCTTTCCTCCTCCGCCAAGAAGCGCTGGGAGACAGCGCAGGATGGGCTGGGGTGGAGCAGAATGGAATGGGACAGTACAGGGTTAGTGCTACTGCTCAGCACTGTCAAGTTGCCACCGTTGTACGGCACCCCTATGAATCATTGACTTCCAAGCAGGCTTTCTTTCACAGCCCTCAGGTCTTGGTTGTGGATTCCTTTATTGAGGCACTCTCTCTCACCTCAGGTCTTCTTCCTTTCCTACTGCCTTCCACTTTTTCCAAAGGCAGGTAGGACAGGACACTTTGAGTGCCTATTTCCTCAGCCCGTGGCTTTTCCTTTGGGACACCTGATGGCAATGAAAAAACACTCTGTTCATGCTCGGAGTAGCATTCTGACAGTGTCCCAGCTCCAGAGCAAAGCCCTCCTTGATTTTCAAAAATTTGGCAGAGTCCCAAAAGAGGACATAAGGGGTTCTCAACAGGAAGTTCCACATTAAATGGGAGATTCTCGATCTTTGATTGTTCTCCAGAAAAGGAAAAGATCAGCAGATGTTGTGGCCATCAAGCAAGACCGGCCCAAATGCCCTTGGCCACACACTGCAACCGAAGGTGGAGGCGTCCCTCTCCTTTCTTCCACGTTGTTCTGTGCCCTCAAGTAGCCTCCAATCCATGGCAACTCTATGAATGTGTGACTTCCCCAATGCCCTGTCACTCACAGCCATGCTCAGGTCTTGCAAACTCCAGGCTGTGGCTTTGCTTCTTCTATCACTCCATCTCTTGTCTGGTCTTGCTCTCTTTTCCAGCTGCCTCTTCTCTGATGGCACCACCCTAACATTGAAACTCACACAACCCAAGCATAGGTCCTCTGTGTGGTCCGTTATACTCATCAAATGTTTGTGCAGTTAGGCAAGGCAGGCGCAGGAACCGCAGCACCCAAAATGTTTGCTCTGGTGCCTCAATACCTAATCTATGCCTAAATTTAAAAAAAAAAATGAGAGAAAAAGGAATTAAAAGAATGACTGGGTGGGCTGAGGAAGATGGTGCATCGTCTCCATCTCACCAGGTCTCTGTGGAGGGCGGCATCTCCCATCCCGCACCTTAAAGTGAGTGGCAGCACGTGGCCTGAAAAGTCCGGACAGGGAACAAGGCACAAGGGGGAAGATCAGATCATATGGAACAGGAAAGAATGAATTAAATGACTTGGGAAGGCCCAGATAAGTCTCCCATCAAAGTCAGGCATGCACTTCCCCAAAGCCTTGACTGTCAGTTTGGGGCCAGACTGGACCAGTCATGTGGACTCCTCTCTCCACCTCGACTGCTCTCTTGCCAGGACATGGGCGGGAGCGATGATGATGAAGACCCAATCTACATTGACGGCACAGGAGGTTATGATTCTGCCAGCAACTGGACTGCCAGAGACAACTACTTCAGAGACGGGAAAACCAAGATTGGTAAGCGCTTCTCCTTAGGGTTTGTCACAGTGATCTCTCGGCCAAGGTCCTCGGTCTTTTCCTCAGTGGCCCGACTTCTTTGCATGTGGAGATCCCCTGGTGAGAGCCGAGCTCTTGGTGTGTGCCAGGGGGGTAGGGGGTGGCAGCATGGGCTGCTGGAGAGAAGAAAGGGTTCTTTTGAAGGAGGGGAGAGGATGACCTGCACCCTCCAGCCTGCTCAGTCTGAGACAGCCTTGGCCAGCCCTTTCTCTCTCTCTACTTCCTTCTCCTGCTGCAACTGCAGACTTTGTGCTGGTTTGGGAGGAGAAAGTGCGCCCCTCAAAGAAGCGTCAAAGCAAGCAGCACCACGAAAGAAGCAGGACAGGGGACAACTGGGAGCAGCCCCTCAGCAGACACGAGAGGTGGAGGCGAAAATTTCTCAAGAACCTGCACAATGCCGGACTCTTGCTGGAGAAGGTAAGCAGCCGGGGGGGGGGAGTGTCTTCTTGGGCTGTGTTCATGCTGCAAGAGTGACCTCTGAGCTGAGGGTTCTGGTAGCAGCAGAGGGCTTGACTGACAGGTGGGCAATGGGGCTACCTCTTGGGTGGGCTATCAGCAAGCCCTCATGGGCCAGACAGACCACCCCTGCCCACCCACACTCCCGTCTGTTCCTTCCATAGGAGGAGACACTAAGCGAGCGCAAGACCATTCACTACTTGAAGCTGAGCGCCCCCTGGGAGGTGCTGATGTATTATGCTGAAGAGCTCTGCATGCGTGCCCCGCTCCAGGTGGGTCCTTGGGAACAAGGCTGAGCCCTGGAGGAAAGAGGGGCTGCTGGCCTCCCTTGTTCTTGTTCCAGGCTGTCCACCAGGCCCCTGGTGCTAGAACACCCTGGCCTTCTTCCCAGAAGCTCTCTCCCCAGTGGCTCCTCCCTGTCACTCCCTCGTAGGCCCACCCCAACCCAGACAGGAACCGTTCGGCCGACCTGCTCCAGAAGCTGCACATCCCCAACGTTATGGAGCAATGGGTGCCAAACAAGCCCATGGACTACTACACCTGCGCCTTCCGCAAGTCCAAGCTGGATAAGTGAGTGAGGGACGTCTGTGGCTTTGGGGGGCACAGGGAGTGACCAAGGCTGAGCGAGGGGGCGGGCCCTTGTGCTTTTGCCTGACCTGCCAACCCTCTAGCCTCGGGGTGGGCAAAGACGTCCTTGCACTCAATGCCCAGCAGCTCCCACCACTGCCTCGGCTGGCGACAGTGGATTAATGCCCATCTTGCCCCATCTCAGCTGCTGATCTGTCTTACTTTATAAAATGGGTGCATTCCTAATACAACTATTTTTTTCATACAATCCATTGTGTTGCAACCTCATCACATTCCTGTTGTGTGGGCCACCACTATTGTTTTTAGCCCTGTATTAAGCTGGGGCTGAGTGGGTGTGGTTATCAATTGAGACGTCTCCCACAGTCCCATTTTCCAATCCAGGACCCTCTGTGTTGCAGGTTCCTGGGCAGTGACCTGCATGACTCCTACTTCACCAACACCCAAAGGCACCGCATTGTAAGTGCTGTTGCAATATGGGGTGGGAGAGGAGATGCGTAGAGTGTTAAGCCGACACACATCCGTGGCGCTGCAGCCCTTGACACCCTGGCCCCGCCCCCAACCCCTTTCTCACTGGATGGTGCTGTGCCCTGACCACCCTACTTCTCCCTTTCCCATGGTCAGGTGTACGAGATCTTGGCCCGAACTCTCTATGGGAAGCGGAAGCATGCTGAAATTGGCATTGACCGCCTCCTCAACGAAGGGGTATACTCGGCCGCCTTCCCACTGCATGAGGTAAGGAGGGCTCAGCTTGGGAAGGGTGGGAGCAGGATGAAGGGCAAGGACTCTGAGAAGAGCATGAGCCTGATCAGAGTCCCTCGGGGTGGCCAGAGGAAAGGCACTCTGCACCTGCTCCTGTCCCCAGGCACCCTCGAGTCCTGCTTCTCCTACTTTCCATGGAGAGTTACACACGAACTGCATGGAGCAGTCTGTGTCATTGGTCACCAATACCCTCCCAATTGCTCTGTGATGTCCCTCCTCAAAGACAAAGGGCAAGTAGGCCATGTGATTCTGCTCAGGTTGTACCTCCACTGCTGGACCATGACTCTGGGAAACTGTTCCAATGTGTTCTTGCCTCTCTGGATTGTAGGTGATGGTACAAAGTTCCCTTTATCCTTTCCCTTCTTTTCTCCCCCCAGGGGCCCTTTGAACTTCCTGAATATAATGTGCCAGGTGAAGAACTGAATCCCCGGCAGATCCTCTTCTCTTTCTGGGCCCAATGGCGCTGTTGGTACAAATACCAGCCCTTGGACCACATCCGGGAGTACTTTGGAGAGAAGGTGGCCATCTACTTCGCCTGGTTAGGTGAGATATGCCCAGACCAGGGGCCCTCGACTCTCCTCTTCTTTCCTTGCTTAAGCATTTCCCTATGTCAGCTTAACACCCTAAGTTTCCTCTTCTGAGCACTGTCTGGAAAGAAACTTTGCCACTCTGTATGTGCTGACAGCAAACCTTTCCCTTTCAACAAAAGAGACTCTGAGGCTCAGGCGAGTCCCAGCAGTTGTGGCCCAGGAAAAGGCGAGGTGGCTGGGGGGGGGGGATGAGAGTCTTTACTCACCTTCCATGTAGCCTCTGGGTGGTGCTCACCAACATCCCTTGGGTTCTCCTCCTCTTCCCTGGCAGGATTCTACACCGCCTGGCTGCTCCCAGCGGCAGTCGTTGGCACACTCGTCTTCCTGGCTGGTCTCTTTGCTATGGGGACAAACACGCCTGCGTGAGTTAGGGAGACAGCCAGTCATTGGGTGGTGCCAGTCTGCTTGCCAAGACTGGGGTAGAGGGAATGGGGCAAGTTCAAGGGTGTGTGTGTGTGACTGTGTTCACTGGCTCCGCTGGTCTCTGATGGAAGGAGAGACCTGGGTCCTCTTCAGACCCATCTGGCAGCATTTCTTACATTTTCACAGCTCTGACAGTGGGACTGAGAAAAGCTCCCCCATCTCCTCCTTTCCCGCTTCCTAGGCAAGAAATCTGCAACAGCGCAGAGGAGTTCCTCATGTGCCCTCTCTGTGACACCTGTGGGACCTGGCACATCTCTGAGATCTGCCCCATGGCAAAGGTGAGGGGTTGAGCAGAGGCTGGGTTGCTCTTGCTGAGACAGCCATCAACAGCCTGTGTCCAAAAGGGACACAGTGAGAATTACTGCAGGTTCGAGCCCCATCTCTGCTGGGAGTGAAATCGGTACAGGCTGGGCAGCCTGTTTCTTCACCTGTAAAATGTCAATGAGTGACTCAAAGAGCAATGCAAAGACTATAGCAATAGATTAGTTCATTGCTTCCTGAGAAAGGGGTGGCACTGCCTATCCATTCAGTGGCTTGGTACTTATCTAGGAAGGCAGATCTGAGACTTTCTCCTGTTTTAAGTTGAAAGTCCATGGCAGGGGCTGTCCCGTTTTAGCTTCACAACCACCCTGGGAAGGTGCCTGCCCAATACTCAGCAGGCCTTCCCCAACATCTGCCCACTTGGCCACACTGGGTTCCTACAGGACAGTGGCCAGGAGGTACTGCCGTGTTCTACCATTTCCATGTGAAATCACAAACTCCTCTGTTCAGGGAAGGCAGTTGCTCAGGGGTCTCTCTCTCTCTCTCTCTTTCCACTGGGGGGGGCCACAGGTGGGCTACCTCTTCGATCACCCAGGGACCGTCTTCTTCAGCATCTTCATGTCCTTCTGGGCGGTGACCTTCTTGGAGTACTGGAAGCGCAAGAATGCCACCCTGGCCCACCACTGGGACTGCACGGACTTCCAAGAGGAGGAGGCAAGTGAGGCCGGATCCTGGCTAATATGGTTCCCCCCTCCACCTCACCCTTAAATAGCAGAAGGGGTATCCCTGTGGGAACAAAAGATAGATACCCCTCAATCCTGTGTGCTTGTACCTCTATATTCCTGCCCTATATTGTGTGCATATTCTGTGGGTTTGTGGAAGTCTGCTAAAGACAAGTTATACAGCCAAATGGGTACAAAACTCTGAGGGTGTTAGTGTTAAAATATTTCAGATGAATTTTTTTTTCATAATCTACCTTTCTGTGGCACATAGACAATCTCACAGACACTTAGGAAAAAGGGGAAAGGATGAAGATTTTAAAAACATATAAGGCTAGGAAATAAACAAACCTAAAAAGCCAGAAACCAGCAGAAAAAAAAGGATAAACAAAGAAGATGGACCATATGATCCTTGCAAGTAATGTTGCTACAATGGACATTCTAATCCTGGAAACAACTACATCTGAATAATTTGTAAACCTTCTCTTATTCCACACTGAACTAGCCATCCTTATTCCCATTATGATCCTAACCATATCTGTTTGGAAGTGAACAGACAGGAATGGAGAGTTGGAAAGGATCCCTGAGGTCACCGATTTATCATTCATGTAATATTTATAAAGCCAAACTACATGTCAATAAGAGAATCTGGTGCTGAAACATGCCTAGCAGATGGCCAACCTACCTGTTTAAAAACCTTCCAAGGGAGTCCTCTCGACTGTCATACAGCAATGATCTCCTAACCTTTGGCTGTAAACCTTTTTTCTTATTGTCGGTACCCATTGGTTTCAGCTCTGCAATATGCATTAAAAATAAAAAGATTGTTTCATTTGCAACACCTCTGACTCCCTCAGTTCCACTTGGGGTTGCTCTAATCCCCTTCTCAACCACCCTCACTTACCATCAGGGCACATGTGTGTTATCGGTTTGTGTTTTCCCCTCGCTCCAGGAACGGCCCCGGCCAGAGTTTGCCGCCATGGCTCCTCGCATGGAGCAGAACCCAATCACAGGAATGAAGGAACCCCATTTCCCCAACCACAACCGAATCTCCCGCATCCTGACGGGGTCCATGGCCATTATCATCATGGTGAGCTGGCTTGCAGCGACCACTGGGCCTCCGGAGGAGGACTGAAGGGCATTCTTGCAGTAATGACCTCTCCCCCTGCTCCCATTTCCTGATTTCTACCCCCCTCCAGCTCTGCGTAGTGATGATCTTCTTGGTATCAGTGATCATGTATCGTGGGATAGTCAGCACCATGATGTACCACACAGGGAACATCATCCTGATGACACAGGTGAGAGGCAGGATGGAAAGATGGGAAAGACATACGGCAGTGCATGCATGACCTAGAGACTTGGCTCCCATTTTCAGGAGAAAGGGCCCTCTCGGGAGAAGGCACGGGGCACAGAGAATGGTCAGTATTCAATGGCTCTTTCTGTGATGGCTAATGCTTTGGATTCTGTAGAAAACACACACCTCTCTTTTGCACACTTATTTGCGCAAATGTAGAGAAAAATGTACAATCATATTGACTTTTAGCTTCTATGTACAGAAACTGTCAATGGGTGCCAACAGCTCTGGGGCTCCACAAAGGCCTTCCCTCCTTCCTATAGAGTGGTTAACTAGTTAACTATGGTCAACTAGCAATTCTGTCTCTTGCAGGCAGGAAACATTGCCAACATCAGCAGTTCAATGGTGAATCTAATACTCATCCTCCTCATGAGTCAGGTCTATACATCCCTTGCTGAGAAGCTCACCACATGGGGTGAGTAGTAGGAAATATATGCATGCCCTCTGCTCCTGGTACCATGGCCAGTGACTCCCTGTCCTACCATGTGGCCATGGCTGGCTGGCTGAATTTGGGTCATTTTCACACACCCTGGCCTGTGGTACTAACGCCCTGTTGGCACTTGTGGGGCAGGGCATTAGCGCCTGCACTTATGTAAAACTGATGCTGAAGCCTTCTCTTGTGCCCAATAACTGGTGGTGCTCAAGGTGGCTCCACCATTCCTACGAGTCATCCACGCCTGTCCCCTCTTTTCAGAAATGCACCGCACACAAACGCAGCATGAGGATGCCTTCACCTTCAAGGTGTTCATCTTCCAGTTTGTGAACTTCTACTCCTCCCCGTTCTACGTGGCTTTCTTCAAAGGCAGGTATGGTGGGTGAGGAAGGTGCTGTTTGTGGGGCAGGAATAGAAAAGGATTTCTGAGAAGAGCCCAGCCCTTTTCAGACAGCAGCAGATATTTTGACTCCGGGTTGCCTAGCCAGGATAGCCAGTGGTGAGGAGGAGGGAAGTAGAACTGCAAAAGCCTCTAGAACAGCCATAACCTTCCACACTGAAAGAGTGTCTACTCAGCTACAGGCAGCAGGAAGGGCTTCCCAAAGGGTATGTGCCAGATATTACCCAAAAGGTGCCCAACTAAGACAAATACCAGCAGGATTCAGCTCTCTTCACTCTTGCCTTTTGCGCAGGATTGTCTTGGCTTATGCTGGCCAGGATCCTACCACACAACTTTGCAAAAATGGAAGTCAGTCAGAGGAAGCTGCACTTCCTGGCCTCCAAGTCAGTGTAGTAGTGGTGATCTTCCTGGTGGCCACACTGCTACCAGGTGGGCCAGCAGAGGCCCTGGCTATACACAAGGCTTGTCCCATTCCTTCTGTCTCTCACCTGAAGGGCTGCCTCCATAGTTCTCCATCAGCTTGCAAGTTTCCCGTGCCACTCCCTGCTTTGTTTTTGCCATCACTGGCCTCTTTGATTAGCCAGAATGGGACTTGCTGGCTGGAACTGGGTTTCTCATATTCAGACAACTCCCTTTGTCTCAGCAGGTTTGTGGGGTATCCTGGTCAATATGGAAAACTCCTGGGCATGAGGAATGAAGATGTGAGTATTTCTGGGGCAGGGGAGGGTGGGCAGAAAGTCTCCCTCATCCAAAACTCTGCAACTTCTGTAGCTGAAGCCAGTCAAGCAATTCTCAGAAGAGAGACTAGGAAAGGGTTGTTGTTGCTGTTGTTTTGCTTCCTATCGAGCGGAAGCTCATTTTGGTCCATCCTACTGTCACCACTGATCAAATGGGTAGTGCAGAGTTTTGAAAAGGAAATGTTATGGCATCTGCTGAAACTGAGGCAGGACTGGGATGAAAAAAAAAAGTAGAGAACACCATTTTCCTCTCTCAAGTTGCTCTGCAACTCTATGCCAGTGCAGAGCTTCCTATGGGAACAGGCAGTTGCCATCTGGGTTTCCGAAGAGACCACTTAAATGTGAGCAAGGGTGGCTTCGTTCGAGTGTTCCTGCGCTGAAGGGGGACAGCTCCTTAACTGGTCAGGCCTTCACTTTCCCTGCCTCTCTTCTCCTCCCTGCAGTGCGGTCCTGGTGGGTGCCTGATAGAACTGGCCCAGCAGCTCTTTATCATCATGGTGGGGAAGCAGGTGGTCAGCAACATCCAGGAGTTTCTTGTTCCGTGAGTGGAAGGGAGGAGCAAAGGTCTGCGGGGAGTGGGGGAGCTGGAGGCTTCTACCTCACAGACTTCTTCGCCTTCTCTTTGTTGCACCTGGAGAAATGCATGCTCTAGATGCGGACCAGGATGCAAGGGACTCATGGTCCAGTCCCTCCTCTCACGTTGCGCGTCCAGCATCTCCTCCACTTTCCTCTGCTGCAGGAAGCTGAAGGCCTGGAACCAAAAGAGGAAGTTGGCCCGGGTGCGAGGCTCCCAGATCTGCCAGGAGACCAAACGATGGGAGGAAGACTATGAGCTCATTGAGTGCGAAGGCCTCTTTGAGGAGTACCTGGAGATGGGTAAGTGGACAGCAGGGGCAATGGAGGGGTAAAGAACACCTGGTTCTGCAAAGCTTTATCTGCCCATCTTCGTCTTTTACGAAACAGAGGCAAGAGCAAGACCACAGTTATGAAGCAGCATCTTCCTTCTTGCTCAGAAGCTTCTCTCCTGCCTGTTCCCCAGCAGGAGACGGAGGAGGCATCCGCCTTATTGCTCTTCTTTGCTTTTCCTTTCCTTTCTTCCTTAGTGCTCCAGTTTGGCTTCATCACCATTTTCGTAGCTGCTTTTCCACTGGCACCACTCTTTGCACTGCTGAACAACTGGGTGGAGATCCGCCTTGATGCCCAGAAATTTGTCTGCGAGTACCGCCGCCCTGTGGCTGAGCGTGCCCAGGATATCAGCGTCTGGTTTTTCATCCTGGACGTCCTGGCCCAAATCTCTGTCATTGTCAATGTGAGTCTGTGGAGAGCTCGGCTCCAGCCACCCTCTTCTATGAATCAAATCTTCTCAGTGCCCGGGTGGTGCCTTCTCCCATGCTTATTTCCAAACTGCTCACTCCCCTGTCCCCAATCCGAGACTAGAATGCCTCCATCATAAGGCACGAAGGGCCCTTCTGTCATTGGCCATTTTATGACAGACCAAAGTTATCCAATGCTTGAGTGGTGAGAAAAGTTGCCAAGATGGGATTTCTGACTCTTTACCTGAGCAGAATGTCTGTAGGAACCTGAAGCCCAAATGTGGGAGCTCATTAGTTCTGCAAACCTCCTTTTGTGTGGCTAGAATGACAGTGTGAAAAGCACACGATCTGAATGCAGGCGTATCTCCAGCCCATGGGACGCTGGTCTGCCTCAGCAGATGTACCCTTTTCGTGCCAAACTGACTTAAGAGGAAATGCCTTGTCTGCGGCGTCCTCCCTCCACCAACCTGGTGCCTGCTGGGTGTCTTCTCTGCCCACAGGCCTTCCTCATTGCTTTCACATCCGACTTCCTGCCACGCCTCCTGTATCAGTACGAACACGACAGCCAACTCCGTGGCTATGTGAACTTCACCCTGGCTTATTCCCCACCCAGCTATGTGGACAGCAACCACACCATGTGCCGGTGAGTAGAGGGGGAGTCACTCTCTCCACCACCACCCCAAACACACACACACCCCCCCGTCTTCTCACTGACCTGCTGGGATGGCTTCTCCCTCTCCAGGTACAAGGCCTTCCGCGACACCCATGGCAACTACACCCTCTTCTACTGGAAGCTGCTGGCCATACGCCTGGGTTTCATCATCGCTTTCGAGGTGAGAGGCATGGCATGGGGGATGAGGAGCTGGAGCCTCGAGGAGCTGGAGCCCAACAAGCACATCCATTGGTTTCCTGGTGGAGTGGCTGAAAATAAGAGGCAGCTTATTTTCACCTCAGACCACCCTCACGCCGCAGAGGTCACTTAGCTGTTTGCGACAAGAGTAAAGTGTGGCCACAAATGAATAGCTCCTCATCATTCATTTCCCCGTATCTGTTCCAAAGAGAATGGTTGGATTTTCCTTGGAAGGAATTCTCACATCTTGGGGCACAAACTCTCTCCCCAGGGGATTTTTTTTTAAAGAATAAAGACAAAAAATGCCACTTTGGCTCCTCTTGTCCAACTTAATACTAGCTGGTGCAATTTTCACATAAATTGTCTTGTTTAATTGACCATAATTGGCTTATTTAATTCAATTTGCTTGATTTTAAAATTTAATTAAATAACCTCCTGGATTCCTCTTCATGTCTGGAGGCAATATTTGATTTAAATCCAGGAAATAAATGTCATTTGCTTTACTTTCCTGCCAAGCTCATAGATTCAGATATGCAAGTGGAAAATAACATTCACCGTGGTGCAGTTTAATTTTAATGTGCCATTGAAGACTCTTTTTTTTTCTTTTTCTTTTTGCTGGGTAGGAGGCAAATCCCTAGATAACTTGCCCCTCAGATACACCTCACCTCCCTGAGACTGAGCTACAACTGAGGAAACCATCCAACTACATCTCACTGAAAACTAAAACTCCCATAATCCTCTAACCAGTCCCTGTATATGACAGGTAGAGGCTTATGGGAGTTAAGAGTGCTCACATGAATGCTTCCAAGACACCCTTTGAACTCACGCAGGGATTTAAAAGGAAAACACCATCTCTTAGCATCAGTCATTCCATCTACAAAATGAGACCAATAACATTGGCCTACTTGTCCAGGTTGTGCTAAGGCTAGAAGGTTGGGAATGTGAAGCTCTACGCTCATGTGTCTTGTCCCATCTCCTTTGCCCAGCATGTGGTCTTCTTCTGTCTGCGCCTCATCGACTGGCTGGTTCCAGACATCCCAGAGTCCTTGGACTTGAAGATCAAGCGGGAGCGCTACCTGGCCAAACAGGCCCTGGCTGACAACCAAGATGTGCTCCTGACGGTGAGTCACGACTCCTCTCCCTCACCAGGTTAGTGCACACAAGTAGCTCCACAGAGGGCACCTTTTATATCTGTGTGCATTTCTGTGAGTGTGTCTTTTTTTGGTGCAAACACCCAGCAGCAGGGGAGGAAGACAGGGTGCTCGATTCCTCTCGCCCCAGAAATCCATCTTGGGCTTCTTCTCACTGTCACTCCAGGCAGGTTCAGTCTTGAGAAGCAGTGAAGTCAAGTAACTCATATCTTTAACTTTCACGAGTCTACAGAGGAATCACCTTCCCTTGTCATAATCCAAGACCCTGAACGCCTGGCTTCCTGAAATTGTTATGGAGGCAGGTGTAAACCATGGCATTTATTTCAATCTTCATTTTTTAAAAATACCAAATTTAAGTCCTTCGTTTGAAGGTCTTCACCATCTATCACTGTTTCTGGGTAGCTTTCAGCTGTGTACATGTTTTGTTATCTCAGCATGTTGTCTTGTGGTGCAGCATGGGCAGTGTTGTACTTCCGAGGCTCCCTCATAGTAGGCTTCTCTGTAGTAGCATGATTGACTGGTGTTCTCAAGGCGAGAGGAACTATGGAGAGAGAGAGAGGAAGAGGAGGAGGAGGAGAGAGAGAGAGGACTGAGTTTGTGGCCTTGGAAACAGTGGAAGAGGATGACTTGAGACCAGAAGAGCAGCACCTCTATCGATGCCCAGCCAGGATCCAGCAAAGATATTGTGAAAGACCAACCAGCTGGTCTCCAGACACCTCCCAAAAAGGAGTCACGTCTGACTGCCCTTTCCAGAGGAACTTCTCATCCTTTGGGGGAAATTGTCTGTGCACAGCAAAGCAGGAATTGGACGGTGCAACCAAACTTCTGCTCATTTTTTTTCAGTGGAAGAGCCATAATGAACCCATGCTCACGGCCATGTGTTCAGCAGCAGATGGGAAGAGAGGGGAAAAGAGAAAGGTCCCCATAGAGGCTGGCAATGTAGAATGCTATGGCAGAGGGAAGCTGTGGGTGGCCATGGCTTAGGATCCTGCTTCCCAGGCAGAGGCTTCCAAAAAGCCCCAATGAGGGAGTACTCGCAGTGTTCTTTCTCTGCTTTTTTTCTCAGTAGCAGCTGGAAGGTGGCTGGTTCCATCTCTCTTAAAAACAAAGGCTGGGAATAGCATTTCAACTAGAATTCATCCAATCTCTCTTTGCAATTTAATTCTGCAGCTATTGATGCTGGTGGCTGACCAGGACCTTGTAGCAATGAGTTTTCTTGCCCGCCATGGCCTAAGGCAGTTTTCCTTGGGCTTGGTTCCGAACATAAGTGCACCCTTTCCCTCCTACTGCTGTTTTGATCTTGAGGAAGCAGCCCCTAGGACTTGGATGTTCTGTGGTGGGAACCCAAATGCCCCTCCCTCTTGCTTCTTCACACCTCCTCCTGGTTTCCTTACTGAGGTACCATTCCAAGCCTGATCTCCTCAACACTAACTGGTAAGATATCAACCTTCTTCCTAGACGCAATGTACTAACTTTGCTGCCTTCTTGGATTTTTATTTTTCATTCCATACAGCAAGCAGCTTTTTATCCAGCAGCATGATCTAGTGCAGCTGGAAGCGAGGACTGCCAGCACTGGTTCTCCCTCCACTGTCAACCATGCGGCTCGGCTCCAGTTTATAGTGAAAAGGATCCCAGAGGATGATGGAGACACAGAGAGGCTCTTCCTGTCTCTGCATAAGGCTGAGGAAGACTTCAAGATGGACAACAGCCCCTGTTGTGGTGTGCCACCGGCAGGCCTTTGGGCTACGTCGTGCTGCTTAGCCTCCACTAACACCCTTGAAGGAACTGCTTTGCTTCCTGGCTTTCCAAGGACCCTCGCTTCCAGCAGCAAGAGAGGTCCGAGTCAGTTCAGCAGAGAAGGCGGCAGAAGGGCTGGCAGAGGCAAGGCAGCAGGTGCGAACAGGTGTGGACCAGGAAAGGCTGGGCACTGGCAATCTGCCTAAATTGGAGGGGGGCAATGAGGGGAGGACTAAGAGCACAAAAGAGTGAAACCTGGCTGCCCTTGGATGTCCAGCAGTGGGTCCACCCTCCTTGTGCCAGCACGGGGGGGGGGGGATGCACCACAAAATCAGGAGTGAGGAAAGCCTTTTGAGGGCTGCATGCTTTGTGGAGCAACATTCCAAATCCGGCGTTCCTACCCACTCGCACAACATTGCTCACAGCTCCGAGTCTCCGTCCCAGACCATCCTGTGACCTGAAAGCAACTGGGGTGTTGTGGACTGCAACACAAGGAGCGAGTGTCTCTTCCTGTGCCCATGTGCCACTCCAGCTGCACCTGTGGGATGGACAACTGCATGCCTGCCTTTCTATTGTCAATGCCTGCCATGTGTTTTCTCTCCCTGGCATGCTCTCCTCCCAACAGCCTCAGAGTCCCCTCCCCACATTGCCTGTGTCACGTCCCTTGGTTGCCTTACGTGCCCTGGAAGCAAGAATAAAATGTGGAATGATACCTACCATATGCCTTTGTTCCCTGAGGGAGTTGGGGGGGGGCAGCAGCAGACATCCAAGCAGGGCTGCTCCCAGTTGCCATGGGGATTCCCACCACGGGGGGGGGGGCTTTCCTACAAGCAAACAAACAAGAACTCCTCCCAGAATAAGGACACTTAAAAATGGATTGTTCTAATGAGACACATGTCCCTGGAAGTCTGTCACAATCCTTGGTTGAGTGTTTTTCAAATATACGTCCTGCACTTCCAAGACATGAATCTGAGACTTTCAGCTGAAGGAAGAAAATCCCATCAAAGGAACCTGGACGGAAGGAAAGAACAGAATAATGTTTAGCTTTTCCTTCTTCGGTTAATAAAGGGACCCCCTCCAAGTCACTCCCGGGGCCCTCGAATGCAAGACAGGGCAGTTGTTTGGAACATGTCACAAAAACAGAAACGTTCCTCCTGAGCATATACCTCAACATTAATACTGAGTCACTTCAGCCAGTATATATATCTATACACACAGTTAGAGAAAGACAGAGAAGTCCCATAGACCAATCCCTTGGCTGGCCAGCCCTTTGTGCCAACATCTCTACGAATCCATCTGTGGACTGGAGGAAAAGATGGGTTGGGAGGCGGGACCTAGGAGAAGGCAAGAGGTTGCTAGACATCTCAAGGCCCTTCCTCGGCTCACCAGACCCTTTCATCATGCCAGCAAGGGGCTGGGACAGGGAGATGGCCTGTTGCATATACCAGAAAAATGATCTAGCAGATCTATAGTGCTTCTGCCCACGGAAGCTCATTTTTTAAAAAGGCATCTCTCTAGCTCTCATATTGATCCTCTAGAATAAACATTAAAACGCCAAAGACGCCAAAGCCAGGATGCGATCACCTGTGGTGAGATATTTAAAAGACATGCTTGACATGACTTCCTGCGTGTCCTGTGCCACTAGGAAGCTACTTGGCTAACCAAGCATGGTGAGCTGCTGGGGAGGCCAAGGTGTGTTGCCTACGTTTTCACAAAGCCTGTATCCTGAGGCTGGATCTGACTACCAAAACCAGGTCAGGCCTGGGACCAGTGGAAACGGATGTTGGCCTCCCCCTACTCTTTCTGAGCCAGGATCCTCTCCCTGCTCCCCACACCAGCCGAGCTATACTGCTCCTTCCTGAGCCCCAGGTAATCCCTTGCCTCTGGGGGCAGCTTTCCTTGGCTAGAGCCTCAGTTCCTCAACTGAGAGGAGAACAGGACAAGGGAAAAAAAACACACCCAACACCTGTTATATTTATTCCCCCTGTGCTCTTCTGGAACTGCCTCACATACCCGAGTCCATTCCTCTCCACTACCTGCCAAACCTGTTTTTATGACTGTTGGGTGTGTGTGTGAGGAACGAGAGGTAACCAAGGGGAGCCAGCAGGCAAGTCCATACAGTTTGCACATTCTCTACTTCTTCTCCCCACCCCCATGTCTGCATTTTAACGTTAGAACTATTTATTTCAAATATTTCACCTTTCTCCTTTAAAAGGATTAAAGGCAGCTTACATGTTTAAAAGAAAGAACAGAGCAGGGCAATCAGAGAGTAACTGAGAACAACTGCAGTGCAAGGAATTGGGTTAATCAGTAGTACTGCAGTCAGGCGTCTCCTCAAGACCTTTACTTGATCCCAATAGATTCAGGCAGGCAGCTCAAGGTTAATTCAACTTTCTGTCCTTCAAAGGTCAGTAGAGTGGTGCCCCGCTTGATTATGATAATGTGTTCCCTTAAAATCGCTGTTAAGCGAAATTGTCGTCAAGCGAAAAACCCCACTGAAATGCATTGAAAACCGGTCAATGTGTTCCAATGGGGAAAATACCTCATCGTAAAGTGAAGATTGTCCATAGAGAACCGCCAATCAGAGTGCACATTTGAGGTTGTTGTGATGCTATGGGAGGCCAGTTTCTAAGGCAACAGCAAAAACTAGCTTGAAGCTGGTGTGTGCCCCTCTAAGCAAATGGTACCCTTCTTTTCATGAACACTTGAGGGCAGCATAAACCTTCCAATGTGACACACCCCTGAGATGCCTGATGGAGAATCTCTCTCCCAAACATCATGCTAGTCACTAACACATAGGAAGCTTGCAGGATCTTTGCTGTGGCTTTGCAACTGGCATTTCAACTTATCTTTTTCTGGTAAGTGCAACCTGTTCCACCAACAGGTGTCAGCTGATGATGGAGATTTTGGGACGGGATATCATTAGGGTCTTACACAATGGATACTACAAGTAGTAAGGGGGACAAAGGCAAGAAGGCAGCCAAACCCGCACACAAGGTGAGGCCCATTTGAAGCAGTATCACATACCTAAACACGTGATGTGCCACTATTCTCCCTGCCTTACATAATGCCTGAATTTCCCCATGCCTACATTTACAGCTCTCCTCTAATTACACTTAATTTTTAGTCTCTTCTTTAAAATTTTAACGAGGCAGGCAATAAAAGGGGGCTGGGTTCCACCCCACCCAGTTGCGGATGTTACCACGCTGTCTGTGTTGTTGTCTAGCTCCTCTGGGAAGAGGGAGAGCAGGACCTGAGCACCCCAAGGAAGCAGAACAGCCATTCCTTTTTGGCCAAGTTGCAAGTGGCAGAAGGTTTCTTGGCTTCAGGGTTCTGTCTGTCATCATCCTGGCACTGAACAAGACTCCAAATTGACTTAGGTGCAAATGCCTTCATCCTCCCATGGGTGCAAATGAGGATACCATAATTGGTATAAATGCAGAAGAGCATTTAAATGGGTTTCCCAAGGACACATGTCAGGACACCTTACAACAGTCCTGACAGGTAGGCCAATAGGAACAGTGTGTGCTTGGGGCGAGGGAGGGTGGCGGCATAGAGGCTGGAACCTGGCTCACTGTGTTTGAAGCAGAAGTGAGATTTGAACTGATGACTTCCTCTGGTGATGGTCCCCATCTGGTAGACGGAAAAAAGAAATCCTTCTATGTCTTCCTTTTGAGTTCCCTCAGTCTGGCCAGAAGCCCTTTGTCAACTTGGGTTTATCTTTTTGAAATTTTCTTCCCTCTCTCCCCTACCTCAGCTACCTCTTTTTTTCCTGTGGTCCTGGAAAAAGGAGAAGGACTAGGTCAGTTGTCACACAGGTCTAGACTCTGCCATCCTTATGATGTTATGGCTGGAATTGAAGTTCTGGTTTGTTCGGAATCACCTGCAACCACTTTTCACTGATTCATCTGACACTCACTGTGCTCTTACATCTGGGGTCAGAACAGTGGTTCTGATAGGGGTAGATTTCTGAATAGAATTGTGATGGAGATGACTAAATATGCCCTGTGTTTGGAGCAGGAAATGTTGCACTGGCATTTTTGTGCCTCATTCGTTCTAGTTTTCCACTCTGCTTATGGGCAATAAGTGCATCTTCTATCAGCATATGACTGCTGGAGATAACAAAGACTTTCCTGAATTGTAAGGCATAGATTCTTGGGCAGGGATCAGCTGAGGTACCATCTGGATGAGAAATAAAGAGCCAAGGGGACCAAGGAAGCTGTAGGTTTTCACAGGAATAAGTCTTAATCTCTTTCTTTGAATGGATGCAGTCTTAGAGCAAACTTTCCTGCGCTACAATCCACTTCTGATGGAGTCCTGAGCTACACAATGTCAAGTGTTTCTGCACATGGAAGGATGAGCAGAGAATGGCTAGGAAGCATAGAAATTCTCCCCTTGGCCCATCCAAAGGTCTCCAGCAGAGAAAAGCCCTTTCCATTTTCTGCCCACTAAGCTCTCTTCTTCATGGCAGAGGCTTCCAGAAAGCAGGCACAGGTCCACCACTGAACATCACTCCTTGAAAAATTCTAAGATTGCTTGGGACAGCCTTAGAGAGAACATAGGAAGTTTAAGTCAGCCATTCTGGTCTCTTGGAAGTGAGCAGAATCTATTCAATATATTCTGGTAGGGAATGGATGCTGTCTTGTAATGTTGGGAGAATGGGGGGATGGGCAAGTGTTCCTGTGGCTTGCGGCCAGACCTATTTTTTGCAGTTCAGTGATCATCCAGGCCTGTCCCCTTTGGGAATGAAGTGGCCGTTGGACAAACGGCTTCCTTAAGCCTCCCATCCATCTTCTTAGTCGTGTTTTGCTGCAGGATAATTGCAACAGTTGTTCTCGCTAAGAAGAGGAAGAACCGGAAAGTGGCAGGCCAACAATAGAAAGGAGACGAGAACCTTGACGAATGGGCAGATACGCCTTGGATTCTGCAGGGGAGGCAAACAAACCTGCCTTTGATCTTGAAGGAAGGGTTGGCAGCAGGCCAGGGCTCTCAGATGGGTCCTGTGAGAAATAAGAATCCCAAGTCCCTCAGTGCCATTCCTGCTTCTACCCAGGACCCAAGCGTAGCACCAGAGGAGAGTGGTATTTCTAGAGGGACAAGCTTGTTTTCAGATGATTCCCATAAGTCCAAAAAAAATAAATAAATCAGGAGGCCCTTCTAATGATGATACATTCAACCTACTACACACTTAGTACAAGGCATTTAGGGTAGTGGCACCCATTATGGGGAACAATCTTCTCTCTCTCTCGTATTGCAGCAATTCTTATTTCTTTGGTCCATGCTGAAGACTTGCCTATTTTTGCAAGCTGGGGAGGTTTAGTTGAACTTCACTTCAACGTAATCTTTACTCTTTATATATTTATGCTGCATGTTTACTGTATACATTTTTTAAATTTTCAGATATAAACAGTTTATATAAACTTGTAAGTGAATATAGCTATCCTGTTCCAGAAGGAAAATACTAAGATCCACCATCAGGCAATATTTTCACTAGTCATACAAATCTGTGGGCAAGCTTGTAGGGAGGGAAAGACGACCATTCTTGCTAGATGTGGAAGGCTTCCCACAAGGGGACACGTATGCACTGTGAAATTTCTTCACCATAGCCAACTTCCACCCACGCCCACAGAACAGTTTTCACATCCCCTTCTTCAAATAGTTATCTAGCTCTGGTCAATTTCATCGTCTAGAACACACCTGTCCCGGTGATGATCAGAAACAAAAGCTTGCAGGATGTAGCAAGCTTTTTAAATCTTCCTTGGACTAAACAAGTTGTGTTCAGCACTTCCCCCACACCTGTTTCCTCCTTGTTTTGCAATGACAGTCAAGAAAGTTCTCTCCATTCCTCCTTGGCTTTTTTTCTCACTGTCCCAAGTTTTTGCCATGATACACCAGGGGACATAGATTTTATCTTGACAGGTGAAATATGCAAGCTCACAAGCCATCATCTGGGTCAAAATGAAAAGGTTGGAGAATCTGCAACATATAGTCCAGTCTTACTTCTTAAGATG